ACCTTCGCAGCAACAGCAAAGTTATTGGGGAATCACTGCAACAAAGGCATTGCATATGTACACATATGTGCAAACACTGGGCATTTTTGAATATTCCACACTCAATTCAAATTTGCCACGATTGTGTAGCAAATGATTAATTTTCAAATGTAACCTTGTAAACAAGCCATTAATGCTTGTATGTGCAAGTTGCTAGTATTTAACTGACACGGATGTACAAACGGTTTAAAAGTACACGTATCTGTAAACAAATTGTCAGTGGAAATTAACTGAGACACATATTTCTGCTGAAGCTGAGGTGGCTGGAAGCCACATGGATACCCTTCATGGGTCATATGTGGCTTGTGGCTCTATGGTTTGACAGTGCTGTTCTGCTCAACTATTCTGCAAATAAAATTAGCCATTCGCTTCATTGCTGTTTGTGGAACATTGCTGTGCGCAAATTAGCTGCTGCATTAGCTCAGTCACTCCACTTCACAGTAAATCCTGTGAAGCACTTTGGGACATCCTCTCAACGTGAATATACAATAGTAAATGCAAGGATTATTATTATCTCCAAGTGTTTATAGTAAATGAAAGAGGTAGGGATTTTTTCTTAAGAAGGGTTTTGAAAGCTGAGAGGGATGGAACAAGACAGAGATTTAGGGAGCAAGTTCCTAAAAGCTCACCCGCTGAGGGGGGAGATAGAGCAGACCTGAATTTGTAAAGCTGAGAGTTAGAGGTTGATACAGTTAGAACTGAGGAGGGGGTGCTGACTCAGTTGTTTACTGTTCCTTGAAATAACAGTCTCTGTGGCTGTCTATCTTACTTCCTGACCAAGACCATTTTTGAACTTCTTAATTTGTTAGTTGTTAATTTGTTCTTGCCTTTCAAACTCACATTGAAACTCTTGAGTTCAGTCTAGGCTAACACAGCACTAGCATTGCACTGCATAAACAACATGGATTTATGTAGCCCTTTACAACCATCGTGGAGCACCCAACAATGGCATAGTTTGACTTCAATCCAGGGAGAAAGAGGGGGTGACCATAGGCACAGTCGAAGAGGAAAGTCTTCAGGTTCGATCTGAAGGCAAGCAAAGAGAGGCCAAGAGTGTTTGAGTCAGGAAGTTCTTAGAGGTTTGGGCCGTAGTGGCTGAAAGCACGGTTGCCAACGGTGGAGTGGAGAAGTAATGATTCTCAATCCACAACACTGTTTTATTAAATAATTCATTTATTCTCAGCTCATAAATACCCCACACCCTGGTTCCATTCCTAAGAGTCTTTTATACTCCTGCTTCTATTTCATTGTCTCTTTCTTAATTGATTTTTGCTTCTTGAAAGGATATTCTACAGATGGGGCAAGGGAGGTGAAGAAGGATGTCAAGAAGGATTGTTACCCACCCCTGCATGAAAGGGGTGGGTAACAATCCTTGCATTTGATAGAGAAGTATGGTGTGAGCAGGTTGGAGAGGTAGGGAGGTGCTAGGGTATGAAGTGATTTGTAGGTGCGGATCTTGTGATCGATAAATGAGATGTCAAATGGAAGAACGGTCTGCCTGTTCAAGTGGACATTAAAGGTCAACACTAAAAGAGAAAGCGATTTTTCCTGGTTTCCTCATCAACAATTCCTGCAGGTAATTGACTCACTTCATTGATTTGCTCAAATTGTCTGCCATGTTTGACAACAAATATACAGTCACTACACTTAATGAAAATTGTCTATGAAGCACTTTGAGACGTTACGATGTTATAAAAACTATATCAAATAAAAGAATCTCGTCCTTGAGGAGAGCGTTGACATCATGGCCTTAACTGAAACCTGGTTCACCCCAAGCCACACCTTCCCCCTCACGGAGGCCACACCACCCGGCTACACCTCCCACCACATCCCTCGCTCCAACCACCGTGGCGGTGGTGTAGCCCTTATCTTAAGGACACCACTTGCCCTATCCCCCTACTCCTCTGGCTCTTTCCCCTCTTTTGACCACCTCACCCTCTCCCACCCCTCCCATCTCTCACTCAAAATCCTCCTCCTCTACCGGCCCCCTAAAACCTCCCCCACCTTCATCTCCGACATCTCTACCCTCCTAACATCTCTCTGCCTCTGCTCTGATTGCCTCATCATCCTGGGCGACTTCAACCTGCACTTCATCCCCTCCTGCTCCACCTCCTCGGACTTCTCCTCCCTCCTCTCCTCACTCAATCTCTCCCTCCACATCAACTCCGCCACTCACATTCACGGCCCACTCGATTTGGTGATCACCCGGGGCCTCAGTGTCTCGGATGTCACCATTACCAACAAGGCGGTCTCCGATCACTACTTCATCTCCTTCACCACCTCCACCCCCCTCCCTACCTCCACCAGACCACCACCATCTTCTACCACCCCTGGAAGAAGTTAGCCCCACAATCCCTAACCGCTGCCTTGGAGTACTCTGAACTCCTCTCCCTCTGGCCTTCATTCCTCACTGACCCCTCTTCTGCTCTCACCCTCCTCCACAACACCCTCTCCTCCACACTTGACACTCTTGCCCCCATCACCTCCCGCATTGTTTCTTACTCTCGCTCCTCCCCCTGGTTCACCACTCACCTCCACTCACTGAGGAGCCAGGTGCGGGCCGCTGAACGCACCTGCCTCAAATCTGGCCTAACGGTCCACCGGCAAATCTGACTGGACCTCCTCAAAATCTACTGCTCACTCTAGCCTCGGCCAAGTCGTCCTTCTACTCCAGGATAATCCTGGAGGCGAAGAACAACCCCAGGCTTCTGTTCTCCACCACATCCCAACTTCTCGGTCCCCCCCACCACCCCGCCCAGGTCATCTCCTCCAATCTTCACTGCGAGGAGATGCTGGATTTCCTTGAATCCAAAATCAAGGGGATCCACTCCGCGGTTACTGCCCCTCCAACTTCCACCCACCCCCCACCCCTTCCCTCCCAAACTCCGACTCAAACCCATCCTCCCCTACACACCTTCGAACCCGTTTCCCCACCCTCTGTCACTAACCTCATCCTGTCCTTGAAACCCACCACCTGCTCCCTGGACCCCATCCCCACTCCACTCCTTATCTCCCAGCTCCACCTCCTTGCCCCACTTTTCACAGAAACCATTAACCTGTCCTTCTCCTCTGGCTCTGTTCCCATTCCCCTCAAAACTACACCATCACTTCTACACTGAAAAAACTCTCCCTTGATGCCCAGCCATCAAGCTACCGGCCCATCTCCAACCTCCCCTTCCTGTCCAAGGTTCTCGAAAGAGTCGTCGCCTCCCAGCTGCGCTCTTTCCTCTCCACCCATTCACTATTTGAACGCCTCCAGTCGGGTTTCCGTGCTGCTCATAGTACGGAAACTGCCCTGGTCAAGGTCACCAATGACATCCTGACCATCTGTGACCAGGGCTCCATCTGCCTCCTCGACCTATCGGCTGCATTCGATATGGTCGACCACTCTATCCTCCTCTACCGCTTGTCCTCCCACCTCAACCTTCAAGGCCCTGTCCTTGAGTGGTTTAGGTCGTACCTCTCCCACTATCTTCATTTTGTTTCCACTACCGGCTTTTCTTCCAGCCCCCGCACTGTCTCGTGCGGCGTTCCTCAGGGCTCTGTCCTCGGTCCCCTCCTCTTCACCCTCTACATGCTCCCCCTGGTGACATCATCCGCAGACATGGAGTTAACTTCCACATGTATGCGGATGACACCCAACTCTACCTTTCCTCCTCTACCCTCAACTCCACGACCACCGATGTCCTGACAGCTGCCTGTCCGACATCGAGTCCTGGACGAGAGACAACTTTCTTCAGCTCAACGTGCGAAAAACCGAGGCCCTCCTGATTGGCTCGCGTCAGCGCCTCCGCACCTCAGGCGCTGACAGCATCAGCATCCAAGGCTGCACTCTCCACCTCTCAAAGCCATCAGGAACCTCGGGTTCTGTTCGACCCTGAGCTGTCCTTTCTCCCTCATATCCGCGCCACAACTGGCACCGCCTTCCATCACCTCCGGAACGTCGCCAGACTACGGCACTACCTCACCCCTCACGCTGCTGAAACTCTGGTCCACGCCTTTATCACCTCAAGGCTGGACTATGGGAACTCTCTCCTCGCCGGCCTTCCCGCCACCTCCCTCCACAAGCTGCAGGTCATTCAGAACTCTGCAGCTCGTGTACTGTCCCGCACCAGGCTTCGCGACCACATCACTCCCACCCTCGCTCACCTCCACTGGCTCCCCATCCCCCAGAGGATCGAATTCAAGATCCTCATCCTCACCTACAAGGCCATTCACGGCCTTGCTCCCTCCTACCTCTCCAACCTACTATCCCCCTACCTACCTGCCCGTACCCTCCGTTCCTCTGGCTCCGGTCTGCTCCACATCACCCGCCCCAACCGCCCTACCATCGGTGGTCGGGCTCTCAGCCCCGAGGCTCTGGAACTGTATCCCCCAGTGCCTTCGCCGCTTCCTCCCTTTCCTCCTTCAAGGCCGGTCTCAAGACCTTTCTCTTTGACTGTGCCTTCAGCTCCCCTCTCGATTCTCTACCCCGTCCTCGCCCCCTCCCTTCCCTCCCCTCACCCTGACCATTTCCCACCCCACTGCTCGGGTCCCGACCCAACCGTCCAGCGCCTTGGGACGTCCTCCCGACGTGAAAGGCGCTCTATGAGTGCAACCTGGTTGCCGTCGTCGTCGTCGTCGTTGTAATAAGAACGCGGTCGCTCACTCCACAACCGGACGCAGGGCCCCGCGGCGGGCGGGCGGGCGAGCGGGTCGGGGGCCCCCCCCCGTTTCGTCCGCGAGACACACCGTCAACTCGCCGCGCGGCCGGTCACCCTCGCCAGGCGGGTTCCCCCCGAGGCGCCGCGATCGGGACCCGCCCCCCCCCCCACCGACCCTCCCCCCCCCCCCCCACCCCCTCCCACCCCCCCACCCCCCCAACCTTTTTTTTTTCTCTCTCTCTCTCCTTGGCGGGACGGAGAGTCGGTGAGAATCACTCGCCCACCAAATCGTCTGAGGGTCCAAGTTGGCCGACTTACCATGGCCTGGTAGCCCAGTCGGTTCATAAAGTGGGCGGCTTCGGCTCCCTTGTGATAGTTGAACCAGATGGTGCCCTGAAACTGGTCCCCCGCGTCCAGCAGCAGGACGTTGGGCTCCTTCGCTCGCACCTCTCGGATTTGGGTCATCCTCCGCGCCGCCCCGGCGACGCAGCCGGTGAAGCACTTGCCCGAGTCCCGGCTGGTCTCCTCCACCCGGGCGTGGACATCGTTGGTGTGCAGGACGACCAGGTCAAAAGACGCCAGGCTCGGGGGCGGCGCGCCCAGGGCGCACAGCAGGAGCAGCAGCAGCAGCGGGGGGGCGCCAAGGGCGCACGGGCTGCCCATGGCTGTCGTGGGTGGGTGGTGGGTGGGGGGGGTGTGGGTGGGGGGGTGGGGTGGGTGGTGGTGGGGGTGATGGGGGGTGTGGGTGGTGGGGGGTGTGGGGGGTGTGGGGGGTGGGGGGGTGGGGGTGTGGGGGGGTGGGGGTGGGGGTGGGTGGTGGGGGGGTGGGGTGGTGTGGGTGGGTGGGTGATGGGGGGGTGTGGGGGTGTGGGTGGGTGATGGGGGGTGTGGGGGGTGGGGGGTGGGGGGTGTGGTGGGGTGGTGGTGGGGGGGTGGTGTGGGGGGTGTGGGGGTGGGGGGGTGTGTGTCGGTGGGTGGTGGGGGGTGTGGGTGGTGGGGGGTGGGGGGGTGTGTGGGGGGTGTGGGGGGTGTGGGTGGGTGGGGGGGTGGGGTGGGGTGTGGGTGGTGGGGGGGTGGGGGGGGTGGGGGGGTGCGGGGGGGTGTGGGTGGGTGGTGGGGTGTCGGTGGTGGGTGGCGGAGGAGTGAGGAGCTGACAGAGGTTCTGCAACACCGCATCAACTCGACATCTCACAAGAGCAGCAGCAGCACCGAGTGCTCCACTCCACTCCCTGTGGCTCCAGTCAAAAGGAGGTGGAGCAGAACCCCCCCACACACACACACAGCCACTCACACACACACACTCACTCACTCACTCACTCACACTCACACACTCGCACACACTCGCACCCACACACACACACACAGCCACTCACACACACACACTCACTCACTCACACACACACACTCACTCACTCACTCACACACACTCGCACCCACACACGCACACACAGCCACTCACACACACACACACACTCACTCACACACACTCACACTCACACACTCGCACCCACACTCACACACACACACACTCACACACTCACACCCACACTCACACACACTCACACTCACACACCCACACTCACACACTCACGCACACACACACATTCACACCCACACTCACACACCCACACTCACACACTCACGCACACACACACATTCACACCCACACTCACACACCCACACTCACACACTCACGCACTCACACGCATCATAACGTGTTATACAGCCTCCCCCCCCCCCCCCAGAAAGAGTACACACACGCCACATACCACACGCCACACACAATAATAAATGATAATCATGAATCATAAGCTTTGCACAGGTTCCACATTTTCCTTTTTTTTTCGCCTGCGTGTGTGTGTGTGTGTGTGTGTGTGTGTTGTAACGCCCGACGATTGGAGCTGGAACCAGGCGAAGGGGAAGAGAGAGAGGTTGATGGAGCCACAGAGTCTTAAAAGAGTTGCGCTGATCTTGTTCGCTTTGCGATGAGTCTTAAAAGAAGAACACGTCGCAATAATCCTTGCATTCGATGTAGCGCTTTTCACGTCGGGAGGACGTCCCAAAGCGCTTCACAGAACACGCTGTAAAGGGAATTGACTCTATATTTGTGGGCGAACGCGGCAGCCAATTGCGCACAGCGATGTCCCACAAACAGTCGTAGATTGAAAATGACCCATTTATTACTGTTTGGGGTTTTGGAGGGATGTTAGCAAAAAGTGTGAGTGTGTGAGAGAGTGAGTACATTTGCATTGTATGAAAAACAACAACAAAAACAACAGGATTCCATTTATAGAGCGCCTTTCACGTCGGGAGGACGTCCCAAGGCGCTGTACAGTTGGATCAGGACCCGAGCAAGGGGGAAATGGTCAGGGTGAGGGGAGGGAAGGGAGGGAGGGAGCGAGGATGGGGTAGAGAGTCGAGAGGGGAGCTGAAGGCACGGTCAAAGGGAAAGGTCTTGAGACCGGCCTTGAAGGAGGAAAGGGAGGAAGCAATAAATATCAATGTCACATTTTTTGACACGTTACAAAGGAAATTGTGAGACACCGCAGAGCTGTCTAACTCGACTCTGCAATTAACCACCAACTGAATGAAACAGGGTAAAGGCAAAATTGGTTGTTGCTGAAATGGCACAGAACAACGATAGCAATCAGCAGCGTGGCTTCAGAAAGCGGGAGGGTTCCTCAAAGTCTGCGTGAATAAATGTTATACGTGGAACATTTGAGTCAGTAAGCGAGGAGGTAAAGAGAAGCAACACATGATGATTTATATAGCTGTTGGCAGAGCTCAGTGAATCATACAAGGATATGCTGCTCCCTTAATTTGTTTAAGTGTGTTACCTCTTTAATATCACGCACAAGTAGTTGCGGATACCTTCTGTAAGTGTTACAGCCTGTCCTTGATCAAGTTTGCTTTCTTTCAACTCCACAACATTGCGTAACAACCCTAACTCACCTGCTATGCAGCTGAAACCCTCATCCGCCCCTGCATCACCTCCAGACTTAATGTCTCCAATGTCAACTCTAAATCCTCCACCTTCCTCCTTCCCTCCCTCCCCCCTCCCCACCTTCGAGACCCGCCTGAAGACCTTCCTTTTTGGTCGTGCTTATGGTCACCTCCCGCTTCCCTCCTCCTCTGGGCTCAGTGTCAGACTCCATCACTGTCAAGCACTCTGAGACGCTACTCTGTGTGAAGGGTGCTAGATAAATGCAAGTTGTTGTTGACTTTAAAGAGGTGTGAAGCAACTTCTTGCTGTGAATTGGTCTGTGGAAACCGTTCATGTGAGTGTTCCACTCAGTTCTGCCAACAGCTGCAGGAGACAGGAAAGCACCATATGTTGCTTCTACCAGGATTGTGGCCTTACCAATGAATGCTCTCATTTACTCAAATGTTTCACATCTAACATTGCTTCATGCAGATCTTGAGGAACCTTCCTGTTGTACAAAACTATACTCCTGATCATTAACATTACAATTTCAGGACCACCCACTTTCCTGAATGAGACTGGTTTTGCTCTGGTCATTCATTTAGTTGTTTCTTGAAGCAGTTTAGCAGTTTACCCTGTGTGATTTGCTCAGATTCACATTCTGGCACAGATGTTTTCAAATAGTGCAAATGCACAGGCTCACACACTGGCTGCCAGCTGAACATAATGTTGAGTTTTGCCTTATCATGTCAGAAGGAGATCTCAAAACGCTTCACCGGATTTACTATGAAATATAGTAATTGTGTATGTTTTTGCACACCCCTGGAAAGCACGGGAACACGAGTTCATCCCTTCGAGCCTGTTCCACCATTTGATTAGATCATAGCTAATCTGTACCTCAACTAATCCTTTCAATGACAATTTCCTGTTCTCTCCCCATATCCCTTAATAGCCTGACCTACTACAGCTCTTAATTTCTCCCCATTAAGAAAATGTTCTGCTTTATCTTTTTTCAGTCCATTGTGGATGAACTCACACTTCCCTACATTGAAAGCCATCTGCTACAGCTTTGCCCACTCATTCAAACTGTCTAAGTCTCTGTAACTTTCTACTCCCATCTACACAACAACTGAGCCTCCTAGCTTAGTATCGTCTGCAAACTTGGATATTAAATTTTCCATTCCTTCATCCAAGTCATTTATGTATATATATTATATATATCTATATATATATATATCTATGGCGAATAGCTGAGGTCCCAGTAGAGACCCATAAGGGATACCATTTGTCACGTCCCGTCAATTAGTGATTGTTCTCTTTATCCCTACTCTCTGTTTCCTGCCTCCCAACCAGTTACCAAGCCACTTCACAAGGTTATTTCCAACTCCATGCACTTCCATTTTCGCTTATAATCTTTTGTGTGGAACCTTATCAATTGCCTTCTGAAAGTCCATATAAGTGACATCCATAGACACTCTCTTATGCACCATTTTAGTGATCTCCTCAAAATATTCAACTAGATTAGTCAGCCATTCTGTTCCTGATGATGGATTCCAGTATTTTCTCTACAATTGATGTTAAGCTGACAGGTCTGTAGTTTCCTGGTTTCTCCCGACGTGAAAGGCGCTATACCAATGTAATCTTGTTGTTGCTGTTGTTCTCCCTCCCTTCTTAAATAAAGTGGTGACATTTGCAATTTTCCAATCTAAGGGCACAGTTCCTGAATCTAGTGAGCTTTGAAAAATTATCATAATGCATCTGTAATTTCCTCTCCTATTTCCTGGGGTGGAAACTATCAGAAGATTTGTTTATTTTGAGTCTCATTATTTTCTCCATTACCTTTTTTTATTTATATTATCTTTATTAAGCATTTCTCTTTGACTTATTTTTAGGTTCCCCTGTACCGCTGGTATTTTGTCCTCATCCTCTACTGAGAAAATGGTAGTGAAGTATTTATTTAATAAGTCAGCCATTTCCTTATTTTCTGTTACAGTTTCACCTACTTCTGTCTTTAATGGACCCACATCCTCCTTGAGCATTCTCTTTCTTTTAATATATTTATAAAAGGTTTTACTATTGATTTTAATATCCCGTTCAAGTTTTTTTTCATACTCCCTTTTTGCTACTCATTATTTTCTTTGTATCCCTTTGTTGCCTTTTGTAGGTCTCCTAGTCCTCCGGATTTCCACTTTTTCTTGCATTTGAGTAAGCCTTTTTAGCTTGATACAGTCAATATATTTCTCATCCCATCGAAGTTTGCCTTACTTAAATTTAAAACGTTAGTTTGGGGCTCTCCCTTCTCCCTCTCAAATCTAATGTCAAATTCAGTCATATTATGATCACAATTTGCAAGATATTCCCTTACTGTCAGATTGTTAACTAGTTCTGGCTGATAAGAACATAAGAATTAGGAGCAGGAATAGGCCATTCAGCCCCACGAGCCTGCCCGGCCTTTCAATAAGATCAAGCTGATCTATTCTAACTCCACCTGCCTGCCTTATCCCCATATCCGTTAATCCCTTTATCCACAAGAAATCTATCAATCTCAATCTTGAATATGTTCAAGAACTGAGCATCTACAGCCCTTTGGGGTAGAGAAATCCATAAATTCACTTCCCTCTGAGTGAAGAAGTTTTTCCTCAACTCAGTGCGAAAGGGCTTACCCCTAATTTTAAGACTGTGACTCCTGGTTATGGTTTCTCCAACCAGGGAAAAAGTCTCCCACTATCTATTCTGTTGT